GCAGCTTGACGAGGAACAACTGTGATTTGACCCACTTCCATCCTTGCTTGCTTCCCTTCCCGCAGCCCGGCTCCACGCCCTTCACCGGGGGCCGTTCCCTCCGCCGTCGCGCGCCAACGTCCGTCGCGCGACTGGGCGGGGGGCGGAGGGGAACACCCTCTGTCTTCGGCGCGTTCTTCCCGCGGGGCCCAAGACATGCCGATTGGGGCGCTGAACCTCCGAGCGCCCCAAAAGCCGCTCGCCGCCGCGGAGACGGCGGCGGAGCCGACGGTGGAGCCGTCTTCCGGAGTGCAGATCTTCAAGGGATGGACGAAGGATCCAGAGACTTGGGCGAAGATGAAACAAGACGAAGAGGCAGGAAGTCGGTGGTTCCAGTTGGAGGTGAAAGTTCAAGAACAGTGAGCAATTTCAATAACTGAAGGAACTACTGAAGGACCAGTGCAGGACATTAATGACTAAAGGATGTGCAAAGCATGATTAGATATCTTAGATCATAACATCATATAGTCTGATTTGACCGAGTGTGTTTTGGTCATTGTCCTCCAAGTGGTTGAAGGCATGTATTGGAGCCGGGGATGCTTCCTCAGTCATGGTTGTAGTGGGTTAGGGGATGTTGGGCCATGATCATTGATCATCCACTTTCAAAAGATGACTTATGCTATCAATCAGCCTTGGTAACGGGAGGGTGGCCATTCCCCACAAGGTGTTTGACAATGAATGAAGCATGTTCAGACAATGCGCATGAAGGTCTTTGGCTTTGAAGGCAGTCTTCAGGATTCCAGCCAATGATCTGGGAGAAGACACTCCAGGCGAGGTCCAAGTTGAACCTTTTTCACTTTTCACTTGCGTGGCTGGTGTTTCTTTTAGGTAATACTGCCAGTTGTTGAAGTCGAGACGTGTTTTTTTTCAAATAGCAGATAGAAGGTGATGAGCAAACCAGGAAGTCGATACACTATAGCGTTTCCTTGCAGGATAGAGTGTGTTGGAAGATGTTTTCTAAATGCATGGTTTTATTCAATGGGTTTGTTTTACTCAGCGTTCACAGTGTTTTGATTGCACAAGACCTACCGCAAGGAAGTTGGCAGGCAACCCATAGGTTGTTTCTAGAGGTTTCTATAGGCAGCCCATAGGTTCCCCTTCATCTTGGGATTGTGGGTCTCATATGTCCAACCCTCCAAGGGCTTATAGGGCCAACCCTCGGAAGCAGGGTCCTCATGGAAACCTGGCTTCCGCTGTGAAGCGGGCCCACTATTGAGTGGCATGAACTTGTGCCAGATGAGGTGTGCCCTTGAAAGAAAGCTTGATTGGGCTACCTTCGCTGGTGCTGCCGGTCTGCTGCTGGTTGTCTGCTGCTGCTGCCTTGCTGCTGCTGGTTGGCTACTGCTGCTGCTGGCGGTTGGCTGCTGTCGGCTTGCTGCTGGTTGGCTGCTGCTGCTGCTGGCTGATTGGTGCCGGTGCTGCTACTTGCTGCTTGGTTGCTGCGGGTGCTGCTGCTTGCTGCTTGCTGCTGCTTGTCGCTGCCGCTGCTGCGGCCTGGGCTACAAGGCCTACTCATTTGCTGCCTGTCATTGTCTTGCACGCCCTATGATTATAGCAGGCTTCTTCCATTGCAGACTGGGCATTGGAAACGTGACATCAAGCTTGGTGGCAGGCCTGTTTGGTGAAACGCGGTGCTCTATGCGGAAACAAGTATCGCAAGGACGTTGCCGTGACTTAGTCGCGGCGTGGTGTCCCAGTTTTTGATTGGTTGCCACAGCTGCATTGCAAGGACTTTGTGTTTGGGCGTTAGTGGGCATGGGTCTTCTGGGCAAACGTGTTCATCTCGCCCAATACCTCGCCCACATCTCGCCCTCTATCTCGCCCAACCCACCAGGCACCAGGACCTCCAGAGGTGTGCGATGGGGATTGCCATTGTCACAACACATATGTGTATATAAGCAAAGGCCTCTTCAACTTACATGGCCCCCCAGGCAAGGAGCGATTTGCAGGGCTCATGCTTTCATGCGTTCATGTTCACATTTTTCGCAGGTGTGCCACGCGGAAGTGTGTCCTGCACAGTCGTTGAAAGACAGGAACGCGCACACACAGACACCAAAGAAGGCAAAACGCAAGCTAACCATGGTTTTTTCGCGGTCTTAGCATACTTCTGGCAGAGATCGGAAGCCGATGTGCCATGGGGACAATGTGGGATTTGCTCCTGTGATGTGGGATTGGTGAAAACGGTGTGCCATGGGATGATGTAGTTTCTAGCCTCTGCTGGTTGGGTGCTGCTGCTGCTCCTGCTGCTGCTGCGCTGCGCTGTTTTGCTGCTGGTGGTCGGCTGCTGCCAGTTGCTGCTGGTTTGCTGGCGCTGGTTGGCTACTATACTGCTGGTTAGCTGCTGCTGGCTTGGTGCTGCCTGCTGTTTGGCTGCTGCTGGTTTGCTGCTGCCGGCTTGCTGCTGCTGTTTGGCCGCTGCTGGCTACCTTCTGCTGCTGTTGGGTTGTTGGTGTTGTTTTGCTGCTGGTTGTCTGCTGCTTGCTGCTGCCACTGCCGCTGCCTGCGCTACAAAGCCTACTCATTTGCTGCTGGCTGTTGTTGCACAAACCCTATCATTGTGGGAGTGTCCGGTTGTAAACTGGGCTTGGAAAGCATGGTTTTGGCTTAGATGGCCTGTTTGGTGAAGCGCGGTGTCCCATGCGAAAACTAAGTGACTCTGCCGTGACTTAGTCGTGGTGTGGTGTCACAGTGTGATTTGCTTGCCGCAACTGCTTTGCAAGGACTTTCGTGTCTGGGTGGTTGCCCTCGAGGTAGGAACTTAAAGGTGGTGCCAACATGTGGGTGAGAATCGGTGTGCCATGGGGGTTGGATCATTTCAGCCCATAGGAAACCTTAGAACCCATCAACGTGTAGAAGATTGAATCGCAATGGAATGGTGTAGGTTTACAAACAATCTAGGCTGGGAGAAAAAGTGCTTGTTTCGAAGCGGTGCGCCATGGGGATTGGGAGAGGAATACACACAAGAATGCATAGATATTTTTGACGTTTAAAGAACAATTCCATGCTGTTTGCACTCCAGGTAGAAACTTAAAGCTGGTACCAACATGTGGGTCAGAATCGGGGTGCCATGGGGATTGGATCACGGCAACCCATAGATAACATTTGAAAACATTAACATGTAGAAGGTTGAATCGCAATGGAATAGTGTAGGTTTAGAAACAATCTAGGAGAAAAAGTGCTTGTTTCGAAGCGGTGTGCCATTTTGTCCAAATGGGGTAAGTTCTTACATTCGTGGGGTAAGCGGGGTGCCATGGGGGTGGGTCAAGTTCATGTGCGATGGGGTAAGTTACCACGTCGAGTGGCTCTCCAAATTGCGTTGCCATTGGGATTTGCAGTTGAAGTTTTCTCTTTTTGGAAAGGCGAATCTGGAGAACCTTGTTCTGTATGTAGCGTTTACAATGGGGAAGGCCAGCAGTCTTGACTTAAGTACTGACTTTTGCAAATCGGCGTTCCATGGTGGTTTAGTATCCCACATGCAAAATGTATTAACTTCAACGGGCACCAGTATTGGTTTTGCTTAGCGTGATGCTTATATATTCCCGAACTGGGTGACTCCCCTAATACACACCCTGAAATCATCACCGAAGTGGAAAACCATTTGTTTGGTATTCGGAGAATGGTCATCCAAGGGGTCATGGTTTCAGGGAGTGTAAAGACTACACCCAGATACTCCATAGATATATGTATCTATAGCTTTACCTCCTCATGTCAACGTAGGTTCCGTTGCCATGATTCAAGCTGCTGAGTGGGTGGTGTCAGTAGCTCTGAAATCAAAGGTTGTTTGCTCCCGGCCAGTGGGCAGAGATAAGAGCATCCCTGTGAGCCACAAGCCAGGAGCCTTGAGTAGTAGTATAGAGCCCTTCACTGACTGATTTGAGGCAACTCTGGCAACTCTTACTCCAGAGGAGCCAGCCTTGCTTGGAATTTCCAAGAGATTTGTACTCCTGGTATGCGAGGAGTAGGCTTGACGAAGAGTCATATACCACAAATATCTATATAATTCTATAAATACCTTGAGGACTATGCTGGGCGGATATGGGAAGTAGGTACAGGAAGTGGTGAAGTGGTCACCCAGTGATTAATTGCTAAGGGCCGATAACCCAGTGCTTCTTCAGTGATAGTCAGCTGGGCCGACTTCGTAGCTGAGCTGTGGGGAGATAGAGGGGGTGTTATGCACATATGTATATATATATATATATGTGTGTTTTTTAGTATTATATTAGATCTACTTATGTTCATTATATGTATATATATATATATTTATGTGTGTAAGATGTGCTGGCTATATTCTCCGTGAAGGGTTTCTGTATGGAATATCCTTGGCCCCCTGAAACCATATGATTGCCAGTCCCATGGACTGTTTGGGGTGAATTCTGGAGGGGCGCTGCCAGCAAGAACCCGAGTTCATGCAAGGGCGCTTCTTCCGGGGCACTGACCCTGGACACCATCCGACGCCCCCGCGCCAGCCCATCACACCATCCTGGGCCGTCGTCGGCGAACAGCCGACGTGTTGCTCCAGGACGGGAAACCGGCCCGTGGGGGTAACCCCGCGTGGCCCGGGGTTCACGTCATAAGGGGTTCACGTCTCCCATGACCGCAGCTCAAGTAAAACATTTACAGGTAGTTAAGTGAATAGTTCTTCATGATTAGTCTATTGTCTCATTCCTTGATCTTCGGGGTCTGAGAACCGCGACAACCCCACAAGAGATTGGAATCCACCGGAACACCTGTTGCCTTCCAGACAACCTCCATGTGGAATGCTGATCCCTGAGCTGAACACGCATTTATGTGTCCTGTTGCCTTCATCTTCATCCCAAATCATCTCCTCTGGGTGAGACTCGCGGATCGCCAACCATCAGACGCCCCATGGAGCGCAAATATGGCCTACATGACTGCTGTTTTTGGGTGGTTTTCATGCAGGTCATGTATTACGCCACCATGGATCCCAAGCTGGGCAGGAGATGAAGGCCTTGAGCTTCATGGACCGTCACGGCTTTGACTCGGACGACGTGAACCAGCCCTTCGAGCGCCGTTTCGGCACAGAGGAGAGACCGAGTGAGACGGAGGTGCCGGTAGAGATGGAAAGGGGAAGAGACACCAAAGCCGTTTCAGCGCGGGGGATGAATGGGTGATGGCTTGCAGGAGCTTCTTTTTATAGTCTTGAGTATGACTATAAGTGGCAATAGCAACATGTATATAGCATTTAAGAAGTTCTTGCAGTTGCTCAGGCTCCTGGAGTACGAAGGAGACATGGATAGACATGGTCAGAGTGTTTGTCCTTTCGGGTAGGAGTGGTAGCTGAAGGGTCCTGGACATACTGTGCGAACGGAGCCGTTGTTGCTGATCGGAGTCGCCCAAGTCCGGGGAGAAGGACGAAGCCGAACGAAGCCTTTGATGTCACTGATGATTCTCCCTCACTCCACCCCTCTAATCATACGGGCTTTATTCATCAACATTGTCTCCCTGGAGTGGCAACTGACCGACGAGAGGGGCGAGGCATCTTCCTCTGCAAGATCCTCTGACTAAGCGATATTCATGGAGGGTGAAAACCATATGGTTTCGTGTAGCTGTTCCCTTAAACATCCTTAAACCAAGTCTGGGACTAGAGGCTTTAGTCATCAACACCAACCCATCCTGAACAGCCCATCCTGAGCCCACAGGAGATCTACCCGATCCACGTGGCTGCTCAAGCAGGCGACCACGATGCACTTCGAGCGCTGCTGGCATCTAGAGTGGCTGAGTTGGCAAGTGGCAAAGCGTTGCAGTCCCCCTCCCCGCTTTCAGAGAGACGAGGAAAAGGTTTCTTTTCAATTGGAGTACAATCAGGTGATGCTCACAAGCAAAGTGGACAAGACAGACAAACGTTGGCAGATGTTTGCACGTGACATGAAACCATACGTTCGTGCGCGCCCCCGCTTTCGCGAATGTTGGCCTGGAATTGTCTCCAGGGCCCTGGGCCTAGCGGGGCCGTCGTGGGCGGTCTTAAAGAAACACAACACAACCACCAAAAGCAAAAAATCAATCAAGTTAGAAGGCAAACCTCATGGAGAGGATGATGCAGAGAGAGAGAGAGAGGAAGAGAGAGAGAGAGAGATATATATATATATATATACATGTCAACAAAAGTCGCCCAGCGAAGATCTACGCTGTTGTCAGACCACACGTCTTTCACCTTGGTCAACACTAGCTGGTGGCAGGAGGGAGCGACTGAGAGTCGGGGGTATTCACATCTTCCCCATTGAACAAGTTCCCCAACCCCTTCGAGTCGATCGTGACTGACCTTTTCACGGTCACGGCGGAAACGGGTGTCACGTGGTAGACGAACACCTGGTGTCGCACATTGAGAGCAGTTGGCATGTTGGCAAAAGGACGGAAACAACTAAAGATCCTTTGACTCGAATGTTTCGTTTGCCGCAAAAAATGAAGATCCCATTACTTATATTTACTTATGTAGCATCCCATTCTATACTTCTGTAGAGCTTCTGTAGAGCTTCCAAAGGGTGTCCGTGACCTGCAAGTGGTATAGGGTTCTTCATTGGGGACCCCGAACGGAAGCAACTGTTTCTTTGTTGTGCTTGTATACCTCCTATATGTAGACCGTTGAAACCCCATTCCAGTACCACCTTCTTCATAGGTTTTTCTCTTGTTGCACCACAACGGAGAGCCCCAGGGTCAAAAGGAGGGAATGCCGATCCGAAAGGGATCCGAAAGGCACACACACAACAAAAAAAATGGTGCTCAGGACCAGGCCCCATCATCAGCCTGTTTCTTTAGCAAATGAACTTTGCCAGACATCGCCAGGTCGGTAGGTCTTTGGAGCTGGTGAGCTGAGTGCTGTGCGATGTTTTTCTGCAACAAAAAGCACACCCACCACCTCAAATCAAGCACACATGCTTTTTCCTATCAAGGAACATGTTCATTTAGATGTTCAAGATCCTGGATCCTTGTGAATTTTGGTTGTGTTCCCCTCCTCCTCTTAAGATCCCTCTAAGGCCGATGCCGCCCAGCGCACCTCCCGCGGCCGCTCGGCGCTGGAGATCGCCGAAGGCGCCGACCACGCGGGGTCGCACCGGCCTCTCGGCGGGACCTGGTGAGGGCGGCGCAGTCGTTTGGAGTGGAACCAGGGTCGGGAGGCTTTTGCTAGGGTGTGGTGCAGGGGTCGCTCCCCTCCAAAAAATATGTTTTACATATGCTTGAATACGAGGACACCCTGGCCCGGGTTAGTTTTGGATGGTAGACTTGTTTATTGCCCCATCCTTTTTCAGGGGGTCAGAACGCCTACGACGAGGCTCTCCCCAGTTGGAGTTCACACCCAGAGAACAACTATGGAGTTCACCAGCTGTTTGTGCATTCCAACGACCAAGTGCCTCCATGAGAAAGTACTTCGCCAGCACCACGGAGTTCGTGTTCTTGATGAGGATGGAACATGCATCGTCAGGGGTGTCCATCAACCACCCGAGTTCTCATGAGTTCTCGGTGCTGGTGAAGAGGTTGTTTCGACCTTCAGATGGGATGTGGGAGACAGGCATGAGGCAGCTGCTTAATGTTTTCACTTTGATCTCAGGAGCGACTCCGGAGCCCGGTATATTCAGTTCTTCCGCATGAAGTAAGTAGGGAACTGTTGCCACGGGAGTTCCCCAACCCCTTGCGACCATGGTGGGCAAGAGCTCAGACACCCCCTAGCACAGGGGCCAGGGGTGTTGATTTTTTCCCTAAAGTGGGTTGTTTCACACTACAAAAAGGGGGTTCTGACGGTATTTGGTTATTTAAGGGCTGGGTTTGGATTTGAGGTTTGATTTTGTTTTGTGGTGGTGGAGGGTCCTATTTAGCCAAGTGGTTGATGTTGATACATTGAATCATGCAGGAAGAGGCATGGACATGCCCGGTTCACTGATTCATCACTGGACGATTAGCTGAAGAGGTACACCTTGTTGTGGGAAGTCAGTCATGCAAAACCCCCAAGAAGGATAACGCTTATCGCCGGGTTAGTTATAGGTGTAGTGCTGGGTTTCAGAGGACGTTCTTAGACTTTGCCGCCCTGCGGCCTGCAAGTGTTTGTGATTGCTATGGATTGCTGTTCTTTTTGTTATCAGGGTTTCGGTTTTGGTACAAAAGTTCTTCCACTATATAATGAGTAGGGCCTGTAGGACTGATCTACTCCAATTCTTTTGTCCCGAGTTGACTGCAAAGTTGCGCAGCCCCAACAAGGGCATTTTACCGCGACCAAGGGTCCGCATGCGACTGGTACCATCGACTGAGGCGAGTGATTGCTTTGCTTCGGCGCACCTAGTGGGCCCGACCCATGAAGTTTGCATCACAGTGGCGGAGCAACAAATGCTCCTAGTAGCATAGCAAGAATGCTCCTAGTAGTAAGGACAGGTGCCCCTAGTACTTGTAGTTTCTTGTTGCTACATCTATTATCCATCCCTTTTTTGGGCACTAGGTTGTCCCGGTGAGAGAAGTTCTTGGCAGTGAAAAGCTACGCAGGTCCAGGGAGCAAGTGAGCAACAGAGTCTCAGAGCAATGATGACCTTTGAACGACTTGACTTGACCTCTACCTGTTCCAAAAGCGTGAAATTTGAACTCCTTCGTCCTTGATTCATTGATCTCCTCATGCAGAACTCAAGTGCCAAAATTATGTAGACGAAAACTCCCTGCTGGCCCTGTGCCGGACTATACCCCAGACAACTCCATGACTTTGCTGGGCTTAGAATATATGATTACATATGATTATATAGATTGATCATCGATCCCTAAAATCCAACACCCCAATTATAGTGGTTTCAGGATGGCACAATCCCCAAAAGGACATCTTTGGGTTTGTGCCATCTACTCTGAAACCAGTGCAATACAATAGGTAAATATGCCAGTCCCAGACAGATTACATGTTGGGTCGAGCCTAGACTTGTTGGTGAACCGGAGCAACGGCAGCCCATCGGAACCGAGGTTGCAAAGATCTTCCAAGTATGTAGAATTTTCGTCCTTCAGGTGGTTTTTACAGATGAATTGAGATTTTTTGGAGAGCTGGAAGATCTACCTGAAGTTGGGAATGGAAAAAGGTAGCCCGGTAGCAAGTTTGCTGATCACGTTCCGGACATCCTGCCTAGGGCCTATCCCTCGATCATTCAAGCGCTGTGAGGGTCGGGCTCATTGAATTTGAGCGCGAGCTCAGATTTTGGCTGCAAGCCTATAGCTCTCACAGAGTGAGAAGCTGGGCCGCATGCAGGATTGGCTTGGAAGCGTGTTCCTTTGAATTCGTCACGTTGAGTCACGTTGCCAATAATTTGTTCATGTCTTTTTGCTTGTGACCCATATCATCCGATTCTCGAATCCACTGGGCACGCGGCGTTGGACGTCCAAGCGATTTTCCAGCGGCCCATGAGCATCTCAGCTGCCCCAGGTGGGCGGAGATCACCGCTGCAGTCCTTGCGGTAGAACAGATGGGGCACCCCTTGAAGGTTGTGGCCACGATGGCATCGTGGCCATGAGAAGTATACATATAATGGTACAATAGTAATCATTATATAGTATAATGTAATACTGTATATAGTATGCCCGGATGCTCTGCCATGCTCGTCACACTGCTTAAACACACACATATATATATAATATAGTGTTTGTTGTGATTTATAAATCAAAACACAGGATATCGACAAACATCCGAGATTTCAGAGGTTACTTGTGTTGAATGGCTGAATGATGTGTTCCTAGTTGGGGGGTCATTGCCTCCAAAGGTTCCCCCTTACGATCCTTCAAAAAGCTATTTCCAAACCAGCGACTGTATACAGCTCTATGAGACGTGGTGATTTTTCTGTGGCAGCTTGACGACAAAAACGGTTGATCAACTGGTCTTTATGACCCTCAAAAACGACTGTGGTCCAACCTGTGCAGAGGTCCACGACGGTGGTCCACTTCTTCGATATACGCTGCCAAAAGTAACTTCAGCTGAATAACAGTAGTTGCAGTAGTTTCAGAGTAGATAGATGGCACTGGCACCCCAAAGATGTCTTAGACAGATGGGTGATAGGGCTCCATATAAACCCACCGAACTTGCGGGCCCTTGTGCCATCGAACCTCTGAAACCCACTGTTGGAGATCTTGGGCATCCCTTGGCTGAATACAGCGAGACCAGGTTCCTATCCTTCACGGGGCTCAAGAGTTCGACACTGTTCGATCGGAGATCGGAAGGCGGGTGCTCTCGGACTAAAAGGGAGTTTCGTCCGTCGGATAAACGGCAGTCTTTGGATGTCTTTGGATTTCATGGGTGGAGGATAGTAGAGGTGCTAATCATTGTTAACCCTTATCAATTCACATATTGTTTAACATTGATGGAGAAATGGATACCCACGAAAAAACTTCAGCCAGAACAGACAGCAATTGCTTGGAACATCCAATCTTGATCACACGATTTGTGAACACCGCGGGAACCAGGACCGCTTCGACGCAAAAAACCACGCCCGCCGAGGCCGCAGAACTCGCCGAGGCACTCGCCCTCACCCACCTCGGACCGCGCGCTCCAGGTGAGACGAGAAGAGAGAGAAGACATGGTGGAAGATGGGGAAGTCGAAAATGGTCCCTTAATGGAACTACTTTCCTCTACAAACCAGTGGTTTTCAGGTTCCATGTTAATCTTCCAGAGTGTATCCTTATTATTGGAGAAGTTCCTGCAGGTAATTAGGGGAATGCGATGTTCAATTCCAGATTCAGGCGTTTCAGGAGATTTCCACTTAGCTTTAGTAGTGGTCTAGAAAATGTCTGGAGTCTTGATTAAACATGGGGTGGCTTATATCCAATTCTGCAACAATCCTGTTGCTTAAAAGAACAAGATTCGGACCTGACGTAACCTGGGAGTCCACATCCTGATTTTGGATTTGCCAAGCTGAGAGCTGCCAAGAGCAAGTGGCTGGGCCCAGGCTGGGGCTCCAATAAGCTGGTACATGTGCCTTGTTACAGTAATTAGATGCATCTATAGTGGACTTTGAGTCTTGAATGGTCCGAGTGTGTGGCAGGGATGCTGCCACATTTTTGCTGCGGGTCGCTTGATCCAAAAGTTGAATTGAACTAGCTAAGCCCATCCTTGTAGTCCACATCACCATCGATTCTCTCCTATATCCATCAACTTCCGCACCTCAGAGGACCTCATTGTTGCTGGTACATGTGCCAGGAGAGCACGGTGGCAAGGAGCGCAAGAGAACCGTGCGCGGGCCACTTCTCCGGCCGTGCCAGGCGCTCATGCGCGGAGAAGAGCCACAGCTGTTGCTTCTCGGCCCATGTCGCCGACAGCTTCGCCGACAGCCACAGCTGCACTTGTTCGACACGCCGTCGACCTGAGACGAACGATGAAACCCAGACCACCCATGGATGGAATAGATACCTATACATTGGGGTCATAAATGGGGTAAATGTATGTAACGAGTCCATAGATGGATGGTTCGTGAAATGTTAAAGATACATACTGTGCATAATTGAAGAAATCAAGTGTTCTTTGCACGACCTTGGAAGCAACGCACTGCCCGTGTTTGGAGAAAGAAACCGTGTCACAAGTATGTTCACCAACATCAACATGCGGTCCTCCATCTCGAGTTTGGTTGGAATCGTCATCATCGTCATCATCAGAGAAGGAAGAAGATCCAGACTGCGGGTTCAAAGGATGCAAAACGGTCTAAGAGTCGGCCACCCGGGGCAGACTGTCCTGGCCAGGTCAGGGTTTAGGCTTGGATAGCCGGAGGATGGAAGTGTGCTGATTGGCAATTCCACAGTAGGCACCGTGTCAGTTTCCATGCAATATCATGCAATTACAGTAGGCACCTGCAGATTCAATGTGTGTTCTGTTGCAAGGCTAGCATATCCAACTACCTTCCATCAGAACATAGTAGAACAGTGCTGCATCCCTCCTGTCCAAAGACCACGCGTTTGCTGGTGAGCAGATCTCATCCTCCGATCCATCCTCACTCCATGGGGTTGGCTGAAATCAAGCACCTGGCCGTTTCTGGGCATGCCAGTGACAGGTCATGGGGCTGGGTCGTGTCGGATATCTCAGGACTTCATCCCCTTAGTGACTAGTGCATGGTGTCAGAATGCCCACCCCGTCTCTTCAGAACCCCCCTGGTCTACAGACTCCAAGCCGTTTCTCCCCATCGTTTCGGTCCGTTCCCTTCGAGGCGCGGTCGCCCCTCAGGTGGGCCGCCTCGCCGGATCTGAAGCCGAAGCGCAGCTCGCAGTTCTCCTTCGGCGGGGGGTTGGGGGGCCCAGAGGCGCGGCTGCTCGGACGTTTTCACGTCAGGGCCCCTGCTCGGAGCTTTGTTGGAAGTTGGAGTCCTTCTTTTTTCTTGTCCCACTCCGTTGTGGCAAGGCTTGGCTTTTTGTGTAGGGACT